CGCCGCCGCCCTCGCTACCTCGAACCTCACGCCGCTCCGGAAGGGCGAGCGCGGCGTTCGGCCCATCGCGGCGCCGAACATCCTGCGGCGCCTGGTGGGCCGCGCGCTGGCAACCGCGCGACGGGACCACCTGCGAGACGCGCTCGGCAGGCAGCAGTTTGCAATCGGCACGGCCGCCGGGACAGAACTGCTGGCGCACACGGTGCGCGCCCTGCTGGAAGCCTCGCCGCACCTTGTGGCCACCGCCCTGGACGCCAAAAATGCTTTCTGCACCGCGGGCCGGGCCGCCTGCCTCCGGGAGCTGGAGGAGGTGGATCCCTCCCTCCTCCCCTTCGCGGAGCTCTTCTGCCGGCGCCGCTCGCAGTACTTCTTTTGGGACAGCAACGGGACCTGCCACCGCCTGCACGCCACTTGCGGCGTCGACCAGGGCGACCCGCTCGCGCCCCTCCTTTTCGCCTGCGGCCTGCGCCCCCACTTGCGCGCGCTGGAGGAGGACCTGCGCCGGCGGGCAGGCGCGCGGGCTCCCGCCGGGCGACGTCCACGTGTTCGCCTACCTGGACGACCTGGTCGTTCTCGCGCCGCCAGAGCTAGCCGCGGAGGTGCTGCCGGCGGCGCAAGAGGCGCTCGCCCCGCTGGGGCTGGAGCTGCAGCCGGGCAAAACGCAGGCGTGGTCACCGCGGGCCGCGTGCCCGCCCGGCCTGGAGGCGCACTGGCAAACGCGAGGCTTGACGCTGGTCGGGGCCCCGCTCTCCGAGCAGCCGCAGCCGCGGGAGCTCCCGCGCCCGGACGAGGGGCGCCGGGCAGACCTGGGCGCAGCTGACTACGCGACGGAGAGCGCTGAGGACGCCGCGACGCGGGCCGCCGGGCTGCTCTCGAAGGTGGCCGAGCTGCCCACGCTGGCCTCCCCGCACCTGCCCGCGGCGCAGACGGCGGCCCTGCTCCTGCGGCACTGCGGGACCGGCAAGCTGACGCACATGCTGCGCACGACGCCCCCGGGGCAGGCGCGGCCAGCGGCGGCGACCTACGACGCCGCCCTCCTGGCAGCCTACGAGGAGCTCGCGCGGCTGGACCCACTCACGCCCCCGGAGCAGCTGCGCTGCAAGCTCCCGCTGCGACTGGGCGGCCGCGGCCTCCGCAGCCAGGAGGAGCTGGCCCCGGCGGCCTGGACCGCCTCCTGGGCGCAGAACTTGGGCCCCCTGCGGGAAAGGACGGGGCTCGCCTCCCTGGGCGACCTGGACACGAGCCCACTGCCGCTGGCCGCTTCCTGCCGGAGCAGCCTCGCGGAGCTCGCCGCGCTGCCGCCGCCGCCGCGCCGCTGGGGCCAGGACGGCCCAGACAGGCTGCCGACTTGGGCCGAGCTCGCCACCGAGCCTCACAAGAAGCTCCAGCGGACGCTCACTGCAAGGATTGACCAAAAGAATTACACTTCCTTGCTGGGCTCCCTGGACTCTGAAGAGGACCGGGCACTGCTCCGCTCCTGCGGCGGCCCGCACGCGGCGGCCTGGCAGACCGCCTCGCCCGGCGCCCCTGGGCAGCGCTTGGAGGACGCTGACTTCTGCTCGGCGGCGCGCTGCTTGCTGGGCCAGGACGCCGCCCCCGCCGGAGCGACCTGCCACAACTGCGCCCGCTCGGGGCAGCGCGCTGGCCGGCCCTGCGGGGACCCCCTCGGCGCCCAGGCCCGCCACGCTTGGCGCTGCCCGCGCGGGGGCGGGCTCAAAGCGCGCAGCGGCGACCTGGAGACCGCGTGGGAGCGGATCCACGCCGACTGCGGCTACCGCGTCGCGCGGCAGACGCCAGTGCCAGCTTGGGACCGCTGGCGCTGGCACTGCGCTGGCTGCGACGCGGGCGGCACGGCGGCGGCGCGCCCGGCGGCCGGGGCGGCTTGCGCTCACTGCGGCGCCTCCGCCTTGACGGCGCAGCGCGAGGAGGCGATCCTCGACCTGGAGCTCCAGCGGGCGGACTGCCCGCGGGTCTTCCTCGATGTCACGGTGCGCTACTGCGTGCCCGGCGACGTCGAGGGGCTCCGGGCCGCTGCTGCGCGGGACGGCGCAGTCTGCCGCGACGCGGAGGCGGACAAACGCCAGCGGTACCCCGCCGGGCGCGCGCCCTGGCGGATGGTGCCGCTGGCTCTGGAGACGGGCGGCCGCCACGGGCCCGCTGCCTTGCGGCACCTGCGGCAGCTCGCGCGGGACCAGGCGCAGCTGCTTGCCGGGGGCGACGCTGCCGCGGCCGCGGCTGCGGCCAGTGCCCTCGCCCGCCGCTGGGGCGCCGAGCTGGCGGTCGCCCTGCAGGCGGCCACGGCTCGCCAGCTCCGGACGGCGCTCGGCTCGGACGCGGCGCGGCCGCGCGCCCGGGCCGCCCTGGCCGCGGAACTGGCCGGGTGAGCCGGCGCTGCTGGGCTGACCTGAAGGGCGGCTACGGGGGCGCCGCGGAGCTCTACGAGCACAGGGGGGGCGCAAGCGCGGGCGCCGGCACAGACCGGGCTTCGGCGCTCGCAGGAGGAGGAGCTCCTGGGCCCCCCCCCCGGCGCGCCCAGCCCGGGCGCGCTCCGTGCGGCGGGCCCTCTCGCGCGCCGCGGCCTGGCCGGGCGCGGCGCCTCGACCCCCCCCGGGGCGCGGGCGCTCTCGAGGCGGAGCGCCGGCGGCGGCCCTGCACCGCCCGGCGTCGGGCGAGGCCCTCGTGTCAGTGTCGTTTGACCGACCCCTCCTCCTCCTCCTCCTCCTCTCCTCCTCCTCCTCCTCCTCTCTCCGCCTCCTCCCCTCCTCCCTCCTCCCTCCCCTCGGCCTCTCCACTCCTCCTTCCTCCACCTCCTCCTCCTCCTCCTCCTTCTCCTCCTCCTCCTCCTCCTCCTCCTCCTCCTCGGGTCGCCATCCCCATCCCCATCCCCTTCGAGCCCCTCGCCAAATTTCCCCACCAGTTGGGGATACACCCCTCGAAACCCAAAGGGAACGACCTATATCCCGATCTAGGGGGGCAGATTGGCCAGTGGGGCCCAGGCCATGCCGCTGGCGATGGGGATCGGTTAAACGATACTCATCCTCGGGCGACGAGACAGGACTCATTTCGATTCCTCCGATGCGATTCGATTCGATTTCGATGGCTTCCCGTTCCGATCCGATTCGGTTTCGGATTCTGGTTTGGTCTCCAGCTTCTTATTGGAGGCCTACTAGCCTGCCGATTTCCGCCGATTCGTTCGAGGATCGAAGGAGTTGTCATCTCTTCCGCGGCGGAAGGCGGCGGAAGGTCGGCGGAAGTAAAGAGGCCGCCTCCGTTGGCGGAAGCCGGCGGAAGCTCGGCGGAGGGCGGCGGAAGTAAACAATGTGCCCCCAAGAGATGAAAACGATTTTGGGTCCGGGGGTTTCCGAAATCGCCCGCGAGTCCATTGCTCCTTGGCCAGGCCCATCCTGAACCCGCCTGCGGTGTATACGCCACGCCCTCCTGGCTTGGCCAGCAAGGCGTATACACCGCTGCTGGGTTCAGGATGGGCCTGGTCAGGGAGCAGTGAACATCTATAGATCTCGTCGCCCTACAGTGGGAACCCATGCCGAGACACACCCTGCTTGCCTCCAGGGTGCCCTGGGTTTCTTGGGTTTCGATGGCACGGGGGGCTACCATGAGCTGCCACCGAATGCTGCAGTGCCCAGGCTCGAGAGAGATCCTCTAGAGGTCAAACAATCAATCAATCAATCAAATCATCATCAAGCCCAGGCCCCCGAGTCATGACTTCTTCATGACGTGGACCCCCAGACAGTGCACCTTTCGGGCCCCAGAGGGCCCCTTCAGACCACAGAGGGTGCACCTTTCTCCCCCCCCCCATTTGAGCGACGCAGGAGAACGGGGTCGTCTGCGCCGACATTGGCGCGCAAGCTGCCCGCGTGAGGTCGCGCGCAAGACCCCCCCGTCTGGGATGAGGACTCGACCCATTCTCCAGGACCGCTTTTTCACCCCGAGTCGTTTTTTGACCTCCCAGGGGCGCGGCGAGGGCCACCACCAGAGGCCGAACATCGCCCAGAAACCTCACTTCGAGGTATTTTTTCGCTGCCCCAGGGGGTCTGGGATCAGCGTCGTCGTCGGTCGTCGTAGGGCGATGAGATTTATACATACACACTGCTCCCTGGCCAGGCCCATCCTGAACCCGCCAGCGGTGTATACTCCACGCCCTCCTGGCTTGGCCAGGAGGGCGTATACGCAGCTCCTGGGTTCAGGATGGGCCTGGCCAGGGAGCAGTGGACATGTATAGATCTCGCCGCCTGAGAGGAAGAGAGTCCGTATAAGCATAAGCTGTCGGAGCTCCGCGCGGAGCTCCGACAGTCTATGTCCGTGCCGTGTTTCTCGGCGGCGAGCCCGGGGCGGGAAGGTCAGAGGGGGCGGGCCTTCCCAGAGGGCTCGGCCGTCCGCCGCCTGCCCTCGGAGCGGTCTTCTGTCAGCCTTCCCCGAAGGCGGATGACGGCCCCTCAGAGGGCCAGAGGGCTTCCGAGAAGCCCAGCTGCCTTCGGAGAAGGCCCGCCCCCCCTCATTCCCCGCCCCTTGGGGGCTGGGCTGGGCCCGTAGCCATCGCCGCCCGAGGGCCCGCGGTCGTGGCTCTGCGGGTCGGGGGTGGCGGATGTCTCTGGACGGCGCGTGCGCAGGAGCGTTGTTGGGGGATCGGGGGGTGCGCGTTCTGGTGGGCCCCCCCCCACCGTTGCGCCCCCCTCGGCTGGTTCCCCCCCCCTGGGCTCGCCGCCAATTCTCGTCCCTCGACGCTCCGCGCCGTCGCAGAGCCGCGGCGGCTACTGGGCGGAGCGGCCCACGCCGCGTGTGTGTGTGTGTGTGTGTGTGTGTGTGTGTGTGTGTGTGTGTGCCATAGGGGCCTTCGCCGCCGCTGCGCGCCCCCGCCGCCGCCGCCAGGCGGACATGGGCTTCTCGGCGGGCCTCCCGACCCTGGCGTGGCTGGCCCCCCACCTGGCGCTCCAGCTCTCCGGCTTCCACTTCCGCATGCCCCGCCGCAGGAGCCCGCCCCGCCCCGGCCCGGCCCGCCCCGCCCCCCCCCTCTGGGCACGCTTTCTCGCGGCGCGGCGCCAAAAACGCCCGACGGGAGGTCTCTGTGGGCCCGCTTCGGCCTCTGGGTGCCGTCGCCGGGCCCCGGGGTCGTCCCCCAAAGTGGCTCGGGATGAGGAACCGGCCCCGGGGAAGTCGGGCGACGAGATCTACTAGGGGGCCACATGCGAACCCTACCCCTACCCCCCACGATTTCTGAGGGGGAGGGGTAGGGTTCGCGTGTGGCCCCCTATCTATGCATGTCCACTGCTCCCTGTCCAGGCCCATCCTGGCCATGGGGGCGTGGCGCAGGCACCGCTGCTGGGCTCAGGACGGGCCTGGCCGGGAAGCGGTGGACGCGTACAGATTTCGTCGCCCTGGGAAGGGGGGCGAGACTTCCGGGTACCTCGTGGTGGAACGTGGTGGAACAATCAGGGCACACGTCCGGGTCTCCCTCATGTGGTTCCAAAATGGACCCCAGGGAAAGGGACTTTGAGGCGGGCGCTGCCGACTTCTGAAGCCCCCTCGGCTTCGCCCACAAGGCTGCCGCACTGCGATCTTTCACTCGCGCTCGTCGAAGTCTCAAAGCCAACGCTGCGGTCTCAGAAGTCCCTTTCGCTGGCGTCCCGTTAGGAAGCGTGTCGCTCCCAACCTGCCGCTGCACCCCAAGCTGCTCCCGCCCAGGTTGGGTGCGAGCTCGCCCAGGGGGGCCCAGGCTGCCCTCCGGCCAGGTCCCGCACGGCTCGGGGGGCTACGGGGCCCGAGCCATGATGCCCTTCCTGCTGCTGCTGCTCCTACTCCTCCTCCCTTCTCCTCCCTTCGCCTCCGCCTCCCTTCCTCCTTCTCCTCCCTTCGCCCTCTCCTCCCCTCCTCCCTCCTCCCTCCTCCTCCTCCTCCTCCTCCTCCTCCTCCTCCTCCTCCTCCTTCTCCTCCTCCTCCTCCCTCCTCCTCCTCCTCCTCCTCCTCCTCCTCCTCCTCCTCCTCCTCCTCCTCCTCCTCCTCACCTCCTCCTCCTCCTCTCCTCCTCCTCCTCCTCCTCCTCCTCCTCCTCCTCCTCCTCCTCCTCCCCTCCTCCTCCTTCCTCCTCCTCCTCCTCCTCCTCCTCCTCCCTCCCCCTCCCTTCGCCTCCTCCTCCTCCTCGTCCTCCTCGCTCGGTCGGTCCGTCGGTCGTTGCGGCAAGAGGGTCGACGCCGAGGCGGGCAAGGACGAAGACAGGCAGGAGACGGGGTGGCGGCAGCGGCAGCGGCAGCGGCAGAGCAGGCGGCCGCGCCCCGGCTGCGCGACCCAGGCTCTCGCCTCTCGGCGCCAAACTCGTGCCTGCGCGCCTCTAGGAAGTAGGAAGTCGTATTCTTTCTTCTTCGTCTCCTCCTAGTCAGTCGTCGTCGTCGTCGTCGTCCTCCTCCTCCTCCTCCTCCTCCTCCTCTTCCCCATGCTCCTCCACCTCCTCTCCAAAAAAGTCTGGGGGGTCCTCCTCCTCCTCCTCCTCCTCCTCCTCCTCCTCCTCCTCCTCTCCTTTGAGCTCTTTAATGACAGGTCACCAGAGGCCTCTAGAGGTCCCTGGCGGCCTCCAGATGCGGAGGCCCTAGAACGAGCCAATAAAACCCGCAAGTTTTGATGCTGGGTCCTTGAGCTTGTTTTTTCATCATCTCGCGGTAGCGGCCGTTACAGTGGGGGCCCATTCCAAGAAACACCCTGCTTGCCTCCAGGGTGCCCTGGGTTTCTTGGGTTTCAATGGTTTTGCTGTGGAAAGCGTGACGCTCGCACACCAAAAATCAATGGACGTCCTGGGGTCTCAGGGTTGGGTTTCTCGTGGAAGGTTTCTTGTGGTCGGGCGCCTACTGTACCGGGGGGGGGGAGGGACGGGGGCCGGCATTGTCACGGCAGTAGCCCTTCCCAGACGGCGCCAGGGCCAATCGTGAAGTTATTGGGGGAGGAGGGATGGGCGGGAGGCGTCCCGGGTAACGGGCTTTATCGCGAATCGTAAAAATCGCGCTCGTTCTTTTCCATTATCTTCCTCCATCTCCTCCTCCTCTTCCTCCTCCCGCCTCCATTCCATTCCATTCCATTCCATTCCATTTCATTCCATTCCATTCCATTCCGTTCCGTTCCGTTCCGTTCCGTTCCGTTCCGTTCCGTTCCGTTCCGTTCCATTCCATTCCATTCCATTCCATTCCTTACAAATGATTTCTCCCTGTCGCACCCCGAGGCCAGTTTTTAGGGCGGGCCGGGCACTTCGCCTGAGACTTCGGATCCTCACCATTTATGATTCTCAAGCTGAAAAATTGGAACAGTTTCACATACTAAGGGGGGATCGTTTTCAAAATGTTGCTCTCGCCTTAACGCCGCGCACATTCGTTTAAAACATGTGCACGAGTTTCACAGATTGTTGGCGGATTGTTTCGAAAATGTGGCTCTCGCCTTAGCGCCGCGTACATTCGTTTTCAACATTTGCAAGAGTTTCACGGATTGAGGGCGGGTGGTTTTCATAATGTGGCTCTCGCTTCAGCGCCGCGCGCATTCGTTGTAACCATTTAAAAGAGTTTCACAGATTGAGGGAGGGCCGTTTTTCAACATGTGGCTCTCGCATTAGCGCCGCGCACATTCTTTTCAAACATCTGCAGGAGTTTCACAGATTGAGGGCGGGCCGTTTTTGAACATGTGGTTCTCGCTTTAGCGCCGTGCGCATTTTTTGAAAAATACAAACATGTTGCGGATTGAGGGCAGGTTGTTTTCATAATGTGGCTCTCGACATTCTTGCTCAAACATTGGAAGAGTTTCACGGATTCCCATGATCAACGTGCCAGAAATGGTGTTTTGGCAGGGTTCAGGATGATGCGGGTGCAGCAGTTATGTTTATTCGCGGTGTTTTAGTACCAAACATGGCTTTCTGGCACGATTCCAGGTCGTCAGGACGCAGCAGTCAGGTTGATCCGTGGCGTGGAAATCCCGAGAACAATGTTTTGGCATGCGCCAAGATCTTCAAACGGTTGTCTTCCAACGAGGCAGTTCCCTCAATGGAAATGAACCGTTATAGGGGCCTATGAAGAGGGAGCTTGGAGGGAGAGTTAATTCCAACATCGTTGTTGACTCTCAGGTTTACACTGGTCCTCCTCCTCCTCCTCCTCCCCCTCCTCCTCCCCCTCCTACTCCTCCTACTCCTCCTCCTTTTCCTCCTTCTCCTCCTCCTCCCTCTCCTCCTCCTCCTCCTCCTGCTCCTCCTCCCCCTCCTCCTTCTCCTCCTCCTCCTCCTGCTCCTCCTCGTCCTTCTCCTCCTCCTCCTCCTCCTCCACCTCCTCCTCCTCCTCCTCCTCCTTCCCCCCTCCAGGAGCCCCGAGGGCTCCCGGCAGTGGCCGGAGTATCGGTGGCAGGCCTTCGTCTACGTGATCTGCTGCCTCGGCCCTCGGGGGAGGAAATGCCAGCGACCACCATCGAGCCTCCAGGGGGAGGCGGGAGGAGGAGGAGGAGGAGGAGGAGGAGGAGGAGGAGGAGGCGGAGGAGGAGGAGGAGGAGGAGGAGGAGAAGTGAGGAGGAGAAGGAGGAGGGAGGGAGGGAAGGAGGGAGGGAAGGAAGGAGGGAAGGAGGGGAAGGAGAGATTGAGGGGATGAGGGGAAGGAGGAAGGATGACAGGA